AAAAAAAAAAAAGAAAAGTCTTCGGTCCCCCGGGGAAAACCGAGTTGGATTTACCAACCGCTCGATCGAATTTTACCAACCCATCGTCGTTTAAATGTCGTCGCCCCTTTTCGTTCTTCGCTTCGTCGATCGAACTGGAATCGAACGAATCGGCGAACAAATTCCAATTCCTTCGTCTCGTCGTTTCTGCGAGAGTTGCTCTCATCTCGTGTACCGTATGTCGGTTGTCTCGCATGCGTGATTGCACGAAGCAAAAGAGCGAGCAGCGGTGAAGGACGACGTCTGGTTCCGCGTTTAGCACTGGCTTCTCACCTCTCGTCTGTCCGCGTGATTCTTTCTTACCTGTTGTCTCCGCAGTTGGTAAATCCAACTTGGCATCGGCTTCTCTATTCGCCCGTATCACGTACAAGAGAATCCCAAGTCCTCCAGCAGCCTAGACCCGCAATAGAATTAATAATCAGGATAAAACGTCGTCGTACGCGCCCTCTCGCTCCTCCGACGTGCCATCGAGACGAGAAAGAGTCACGGTGCTATCCACGATGAATCCGACTTGCTCGGCCCTGAGCAAACGAGACGGTAAACGGTAAACAGTAAGATCGAGGGCTGAGGAGAAATGAAATGGAAAGGAACGGAAGGGAAGAGAAGGGAAGAGAATGCACGAAACGAGTGACACAAAGCTGATGTCACTAGCTGAACAGGAAACATAGAGAGACGGAACATAGAGCTTTGAATCTAGTAGTTCGAATCAACCTGTTAACCGAGCAGTTTGCCCGCTCCTTTTTTCTTTAGAGCTTTCTCTCGTCTCTCTCTCTCTCTCTCTCTAGGCAAAGAGGGTTGTTGCGTGGAGACAGAGCGGCCCGGATTCCTCGTTGGTTAGCGTCTCTCACAGAGAGAGTAAAGAAATTTGAAGTGGCAACTCGCCTCGTCTCTGTCCGGCCCGTGGTTCAATCTCACGGGACGGGGAGACACGGCTAGAGAGAAATGTTCTCGTGGAGCGAAGCGAGGGAGCGTTCCGACGGTGCTTCCTGTGTGCCTCACGTTTAACACGTCGCTGATTGGTCGGTTGCCTGTTTAGAGCCACGAGGTCGGGATGAAAACCCTCGTAATGCTGGACGAGCAAGGCGGTAAGCCATTTCAATCTAGACATACAAACATTAAACTTACGTAAAACGTCTCTTACAAGAAAAGAAAAAAATGAAAAAAAAAGATAATATATATTTGTCTGGTCCCGACTGACACAAATGCAAACGATCGACGACCAAATATTCTACATATGTATTCTATTATATGTTCTCCATACGTTCTCCACCCGTCGATGTATATAATATTTATATATATAGTTCTCATATATATATATATGCATATACGACACTAATTATACGTATAATAATCGTCCAGACACTATGCAACCCCTGTACGTCGAAATTAACTTTCGATCGAACGGCTGATACTAAACTACCAAAAAAGCACCAAACGACAACAGATTCGTTCTCTCGACATCTCTTCACATTCCCCTCAGCGTTCAGATCGTTTACGTTCGAACAATCATCGATTACTTCTCCTCCCCTTGTTCTTGCGTTTCTGCTCTCTCCAATTGTACTGACACCTTGGATCTCCCTCCAGTTGCATTCTCGGCTCTCTCCTCCTCGAACTTCCTTCGCTCTCTTGATTTTCTCAATCATCGCTCTCTGCTCTCTTCCACCGCCTTATCCTATATATATATATATATTTCTTTCTCTTATTTCTCTGCCTTTCTATATCTTTCTCTCTCTCTCTCTCTCTCTGTCTCTCTGTTTCTCGTTTATATTCTCTCTTTCTCTCTGCGTCCTATCGGTTCTCTCCGCCTGCTTCCTCCTATTCTTAACTTCGCTTCCTTCCGTGAACGTAATCTCACGAAGGCGAACGAACAAAAACAGAGAAATACAGAAAAACAAAACAAAAGTAGACGAACAAACCCAAAAAA